CTGAGCTAGATGGTAAAATGCTTAACTATTGTAGTTACAGGAACATTAAGTGCTCCTGAAAATTTTTTTGTGTGTCCAGGATTGATTTTTAAAGTCAAAAGTGACCTAATAAGGTTGTGGCGAGTGAGATTCAAGTCTTAAAAGTACATATTTAAACATAGCAACAGAATTTATAACCTCAAAATCATTAGTTCTTTATTATTTATCTCTAACTTCTTTTTTAAATAGTTCAAGTTTAGCTAAAAAAATTTCTTAACTTTTTGCCTTTCATTTCAAAAACAAAAGTTTTCCATTCAAGGAGCTTGAGGAACATTAGAACGGATTATCATCCTTCGGAACGAATTTGATGTTATAAGCTTTCATGAAGTTGATGACGTCATTTGCAAAAAGAGCAATAGCTAAGCCAAAATATTTGTGCTTGTGTTTACATCTAATAAATGGAGTTAATTTAGTCTTAAGCATTTATTGTTATAGCGTTTAGCATTGATGAAAATAAATGATTCTTCTAAAAAATATTTCTGAGATACCGTTTTTAGAAATCGTAATCCAGACTAATAACTTTGGTTCGTATTTTTTTTTTGTATATAATATTTTCAGGATCTGAACTTTTATAATCAGTATAAAATATTTTTTTATAAAATTTTTCATCATTGATAATTGTTTTTCCAACAAAAACATTTTTTGTTAAATACCTTGTCACTTTGATAATTTTTGCACGTAGTTTTTCATGGTGTTTTTACTTTTTTCTATATTGAATTTTTACTGCATTTTATGGAATATGAGAAATTTCTCTAATTTTTTTTTTTAATGATTTAACAAGTCTCAACTTAGCCAGGCTGTAGTTTTACAGGACAGCCACTTCTTGGTAAATCTTCAGTTGTTGAAGAAATTTCATATTTTATAATTATGGAATAAGTTGTTCTTTCAGGTATTTTTTTGTATTTAAAGTATTTAACAGTCATATTTTTATTACCATTCAAAAACATTCAAATATTAACTTACAATTCATTTATTGATAGCTTTTATTTCAAAACGTCCCATTTCACTTGTGATTAAGATAAAAAAAGTTTTTTTACAATTTTTTATGTAAGAAATAAAATCTATAAAAAATAAAAAAAATTTAGTCTGAGTTGCAATTACTTCGAGATATAGACATAAAAAACTTTTATAAGTTATAAACTGAATTTAATGGTTCAGGAAAAAGTGTTTTTTATTGTCACAGCATCACTAGAAAGATACCCTGCATAGAGCATCGCTTGAAAGATACCCTACATAGAGCATCACTGGAAAGATACCCTACATAGATAACAAGCTCTTTCTACCTTTACCAAACTATGTTGAGGTTTTATTTAGAAGTTTTTTATCACTTAGGTGAGCTACATTTACCGCTGCTAGTGAACCTAATTTAACTAACAAAAAAAAAAGTTTTTTAACCTTATAGGACCTATATAATGTCATAATCACAACAAATGACTTTGCTTAATATGACCATATATATATATATATATATATATATATATATATATATATATATATATATATATATATATATATATATATATATATATATATATATATATATATATATATATATATATATATATATATATATATATATATATATATATATATATATATATATATGGTCATATTAAGCAATATATAATGGACTGCTTAGAGTGCTAGTGCATTATTTTGATTGTTAATTATTTGTGATATTTAAGTAATAATTTATCGTAATATAGTATATTTTCCAATATTCTTAAAGATTATTACTAGAGATGTGCCGGAACCAGTTTATGCCGAGTCTCCGATTCCGGGTACCCGGCTGAAAAAACCGGGTCCGAGTCCGGGTACTCGGCACCGAGTCCATTTTTTAAAAGTTGGAATAAAAACTTGGAAAAATTATCTTGTGTTCTAACAGAATAAAAAGAAGCTATTTTAAAACTTTTTTTCCCATTTTTTTTATTCGTATTCTCGAATTATTACATTTAGCGTTACAGTTTTTGTATCCGTATAAATTTTTTTGCAGAAATGTATTAAAAAATATTTTAAGTGAGATTGTTTTAAGTTAATAGAACTTTGTGGTTATCGACTACATAACACTCTTAGACTTATATTAAGAAGTTTAATGGTTAAAGTTTAAACTAAAGGAAAAATCAGTTTGAAGATACCCGGTACCGGGTACTGCAACAAAATGCCCGATACCGGGTACCCGGTAAAACAGCCGAATTGCCGGGTCCCCGGGTCCGAACCGGGTACCCGGCACATCACTGATTATTACAAAATAATAAAAAATTATAATATATAATGTTATTTTTGTGTATCATTTGGTTAAATATGGATTAAAAAACTTAAACGTAGCATTTATCTTTCATTGTGGTCATTCAATATATATTTAAAAATAAGTAGTAATTTTTTTAAACCTATACAACTTGGTTTTTTTTTTTTTTTTTGGTTATTTTTTGTTCTTAGTCTATTTATTTTTTTTTATCTTCTAGTATAATTATAATTTATTTCTTTTTATAAATATTATAAATCAAATTAAATTTTATTTTCAAACGATGATGATCATGATGATTTTATTGTACGTTTAAAGTAGTTGTTTTGTTATTTTTCTAGTAATTAGTAACTTTATTTTGTTTTTTATAAAATTACAGCAAAGTATGACGTTGTTATTAAATATTTTTTGTTAAATTTTACACTTATGTGAACATTTTTTTAAGGTTATCACACCATTTTTCGTTGCAACCAAACTATCAAAACTACGTGCTAATGGGCTTTTTATACCAAGTGTAGAAGCGTACGCAGCTCAAACAGTTAATGCAATGGGTTTGAGTACTACAATGATGGGGTTTTGGAGTCATGAAATAATTAACTTTGTAATTTCGTTACTTCCTCAAAGTATTGTCAATCGCGAAATCTTTAAAAGCATGAATGGTCTTCGAAAACAATGGTTAAGCAAGCAGCAAGAAAAACGAGAATAAGCATCTAACTTTAAGATGTAAAAACTCAAAATATTATAATATGAATTTATACTTGTATTATGATATAACTGAGAAGAACAAAACTAATTTTTTTAATGTGAAGCCCACCGACCACCGACAGGTTTAGTGCTGTTCATTTAAACTATATAGTGGCATGCAGGTTCCACTATATCAATAATGATTAGAACTAAGACAAAATGATTTTAAGTACTCTCACAGATGGTTTTTTTTTTTTTAATTATTGATAATTATTGATGTAGCCTTGAAAATTGTTTTTTTTATATGAGAGATTGTTACAAAAATCAATATCGTTAGTTAACTTCTTTAACAAAACTTTTTAATGATTTTTCATACGATGCATTTATGCACAGGCAATTGTTTTATGCTACAAGCAATTGTTTTATGCACAAGCAATTGTTTTATGCACAAGCAATTGTTTAAAATCTCCAGATAAATTTAAGCAGTCGTTGCAAAATATTTTTCCCTTTTTTTTGTTGGTTTTTTTATAAGTTATCAGTCCAAATCAACATTAGTCTTTTAAATCAAACTTCCTGATTGGCTGATTTTTTCGATTGTTTTCTCACGAAATATCTGAGAATATCTATGACGTATATGAGAATAATAAAATCTTTGTAAGATTTTAAATCATTCGTTTTAATTGGGTTCCAGCTATTTGTAAGAATCTTATGCAGCGCTTTAGTTATACTCAGTGCCAGCCTTAGCCTTCTTGTTGCCCTCGTGCGAAATTTTTTCTGCCGCCCATAACAATTTATAAATATGCTGCTAAATTACACGGAAAATAATAACAAATCGAATTCAAAAATAATAATTTGCAGTGAAATGCTACGTACAAAGAAACATTTTTTGTTTATGTTTTACACAAAATACATTCAATGCTTTAAATTAATCTTTTGGGCCTTTTTATCGCCAAAATCCTTGATTACCGTAGAAAAATCAAGATTTTCAGCAATATCTTTTTTAATCAATAGTGTTCCTAAACTTGAAAGTCTATTCTGTGACATTGTTGACCGCAGATAGGTTTTTATTGGTTTCATTTTGGAAAAACTTCTTTCTCCACTTGCTACAGTGACAGGTATTGTTAGCAAAATTCGCATTGCAATCAATATGTTTGGATACAAATCTAGAGTAATTTTATCCTTGACCATTTCAGAAAGAAAAGGTTTGATGATCATCAGTTCATCGCGAAGAAGAACACCATTAATGTCCGATTTTAGATTTGGGGTAACTTTACTTTGAGAAGCTATGCATGATTTTAGAATTTCTTATCTTTTTGCAAACTATCGACATTAATGTCGATATTTGCAATATACTAGTTAATATATTAGAGTTTTTTTAGTGTAATTTTTTAAACTTCAACATCGAATTAGAGCACTTTCTGCTGATTTTCAGACCTATGTTTTAAAGCGATTCTTAATCAGCATAAAATTCTCTATCATAATTAGTAATTAAAGGATGGGGGGGGGGGGAGAAACTGCAGCATTGATATGCTAAACAAAGATACAAGATCAACAAAGAAAGAGATTGCGCATCTCTTTCTTTGTTGATCTTCTATCTTTGTTTAGCATATCAATAATTGAAACAGTTGCTTTATCAAGCGGCACTGATGGGCATAAATTAATAACATCAAATGACACTTGAACTTCGTCATTAATAAACCATTCTTTTGCTGTTGATACAAATGAAGATAAATCTTTAATACAGCAATCATTTTTATTTAAAGTTAGTTCATGGCCTACTTAAATTACACGGTCTAATTTGTTGCATTTTCCGTAAAAAATTAAGAGGACAATTTTTTTAAGGCTTAAGTATAAAAACTTCATATTTTTTAGGGTTAAGAGTCTTGTTTGCACTCTAATTGTTTTATTTTTATTTTATTAAAATAGTTTAATAATAGTTAGATTTTCTTTGATTACACACATTATTTTCTGCTGGATTTTTTGTTAACTGATTGCCTGCATCAGTTTATTCCAATAACACATAATACTGAAATAGGCTTTCAGATAACTATATCAACACATACTAACATAATACTAAAAATAATCTTTCATGTTGCTAAGATTGCCTAAAATTCTCCATTGAGCAAAAATAAAGGTTTGTAGTTTTGTAATTTTTATAATTGAAATTAAAAGAAGAAATATTTGCTAGAAATGTTTATTTTGTCTTTTTTGGAATTCTTTTACTTGATCTTTTTTTAATGAATATGTAATTTTTCTTTGCAATTTATTATAAAAAATATTATTAGCAATACTAGATCTATATTTGATTCCCCACTTTTGGTGGTTTTCATTTGTTACATTGCTACATCAAATCTTTAAAATTTGTTTTGCAAATTTTAAAGATTTGATGTAGCAGTGTTTGATGATGTAGCAGTGATGTAGCAGTAAAGACTGATGTAGCAACTTGATTGCAATGTTTTATTAGAATAAGAGAAATAACATAAAATACTAAAAAAAAAGGACAAATAAAATTAGACAGAGGTTGAATTAAATATATAGGTTCTTCTTTTTGTAAAGTAACGTTTATTGATCATAAGCTTAACATCAAAATCTTTTTGTTAATTTTTACCATTATTACTTGCTTTAATATATATACCTGTGCTCTCTTCAGAAAGCTGACACTAGTATTTATGTAGACAATTGTTTTGCATAATATTATTTAAGAATTATCAAAATTTTGGTAGATATTTTCTGAGAAAATCTGCCAAAACCATTTTACTAATGCATGTTTCTAAAAGACTCACAAAAATTCTATTACTGGTCATTTAACTATACTTTCTAAAACCAAAATCCAAAGGATCACTTTGTAAATTGGAACTAAGAACAAATCTGAAGCCTTCTTTAAGGAAATTATGCATAAGAAATACAATTGCTTGTAGTGTTGTAATTAAAGCACAAGAAATTTGTTTGGTTAATGTAAAGTGTTTATCAAATTTAATTTTGATTGAATTTCAGTACAATTTGCAATTTCTCTATAAAGTGTAGGTTTGGTATCACTTTTCAAAGTAGCAATGCTAAGCATGGTTGGATGAATTAGGTTTCTACTTTGAATTAAGTATGATAAATAACTCATAAAATAATGAAAAAAATTGTAATGTGTTATTTCTTTCAGAAAAATAATTCTAAATTACAGCTGCAGTTGTTTCGTCAAATACTGTCGATGTTGACAACTTGTTTGTTTCCAAAATATGTGACTTGATAATTAATTTTTTTGGTTTTTCTTGTCTATTTAATAATTGACCTTTTAAAAAACTTTAAGAAATATATTCCCTGCATTGTAACCAGCAGTAACTTCTACATAGTCTCTAGAAAAATCAAATGAAAAAGAAGAAAAAAACAAAAACAGAGTTTATCAAATAGCAAGTATGTTTTAAACGCTCCTTTCCTAAGCTAAATGATAAATGAATAACTTTCCATCTCCAGTATATGCTTTATGATACTATAAAAATGCATTAACATTTGTAGAATGGTAACAACAGCTCTTATCTTAAGTTCAGATTGGTGCATTGAGGTAATACACTCGTCAACTTCTTTTTTCAAGCATAAACCTGTTATATAAATGGTAGGTGAGGATTTCAAAACACAAGAATAAACTTTTGAAGCCCTAAAATCATAAAAACAAAAGCAAATTCTTTATAAAGATTATTTTCTCAAACTTCATCAAATTGTTTACCACTTTGGGTTGCTTTTTGGAGGCACATTTTACCCACAAGAAGCAAATAATGACTTTATACCAAATTTTTGTCAACGATTTTTCTAATACATCGTAGTTTTTCAATTTGTAATTTTCACTACTGCGAAATCATTTAAAAAAAGAAATATGGTAAGCATTTATTAGGCAATGAAAAAAATAAGATTTTTATTAACAGCTATTGACTCCAAAACAGTTGGTATGCCTGATTTTTCTTGCCTACTGTAAATAAATGGTCTGATTTGTTGCATTTTAATTGCTGTATGTTTGAGGCATGCAGCATAATACAGTATTTATATTGCAAAACATTGTTTTGCAGTGTAAATATTTAAAAGAAAAATTTGTTTTCTACTTAATAATTGCACTTATAATAAATAAAAAATTACAAACCTTTAAGATTATTTCCAATAGAGAGTTGTGGGTACTTTTAGCAATATGTGAAATTATTTTTAGTAGCGTGTTGGTATGTGTTGAAATAGCTATCTAAAAGCCTATTTCAATATTCTTTGTTATTGGAATAAACTGAAACGGGCAATCAGTTAACAAGAAATCTAGCACAAAATAAAGTAAGTACTCAAAGGAAATCTAACTATTACTAACAATTTTAATAAAATAAAAATAAAACAATTATAGTGCAAACAAGACTCTTAACCATAACAAAAATGAAGAGTTTATACTTGAGCCGTAAAAAAACTGGCCTCTTAATTATATATATATATATATATATATATATATATATATATATATATATATATATATATATATATATATATATATATATATATATATATATATATATATATATATATATATATATATATATATATATATATATATATACTGAAATATAATATATAAACTGAAATATAAACTGAAAGAAGCACCAGATTTAACTTGATCTATTCTAAAAAAAGCCCCCGCCTACAACAATACAACAAAAAAATGTTTACTATGTTTATATGAAAAACTGATTATTTTACTTTATAAAAATGCTAAAGAGCTACTCAATAAAAAAACAAAGTTAATTTCCAAGTGTCGTCACGAAAATAAATTTCTAATAAGCAACCACAAACCTGAAGATTAGATACACGCGGTCGTAACAATAAAAAAAGTTTTTTCCGAATTGGTTTTTTCTGTATAGTTTCAATTGTATATAATTTTTTAAACGAACAAACTATATTTGTGTTTCACCTGATCTTTGCAACAGCATGAAACTTAAAGTTGTGAAAATCAGGTAGTTTTATTTTCTACTATATATATATATATATAAATCTTCATTTAAAATTGATTAGCATTACAAATAATGAAGTGCACAATTTTATCTATTGTTAAATGATGAGTGAGACTTAGCTGAGAAAAAAGAATGTATCATTTATGTGTTGAAAA